TTATTCTCTAATCACTCTCGTGGAGCTTCTCCAAACCTGATCCAATTTGTCAGCATTCTTGAACTGTGGACACTAACTTGTGATGTGGTATTATTGCTACAGTAATATGCTCCTGCATGTGAATAAGTGAGAGAGTCTCACAAATCGCACATAACAGCTCTTGTTACCCTTTGCAGAACTGTGGAATTTCGGGAGTTGTCATTGCACTGATTTTTCTCCTGGGCTTTTCATTCTTCCCCAAAGTCATGACCTCCTAGAACAGAATCCTCCATTTTTTTGGTGCGTTCTGTATTTTATTGTTAATAAGACATACAGAGGTTTGGACATAATGACACTCATATTGTTTACTTCTAGTCAGTTTTATAAATGATGCCTAAATTGTTAGCAGTGACTTGACCTTATCCCCTCTTTTTTGTGTGTGTGTCCTTTCCAAACACAATTAATAATTATTTTCTGTATGATTTAATTTCATTAAGAAAAGCCTCAAATGAGGCAGACAATACATACTTCATGAGTTTGCGCATTAGAAGCCCATATATTTGTTTATGATTTCTTGCTTTAAATTGCACATTGAATTCTATCAGTCACTGAGTTGTTAAGCCATTTGATAACTATCCTTCTGGGCTTACTTAATCAAAAATTTTGCCTTACAGCACTGTGTCACACTGCACAGTTTATCCAACTTTACCAGAATGATATTTTTATTTTTAGCAAAAGCAGAAGATAATCTTCAGAAGTTTCAGAAGGTCTGTTTTGGCAAACCTGTATTGAGGCAATTATTACAACATGATGCCAACATTAAAACTGCCATCAGTATATAGTAACTTCCTTTAATTTTGTGTTAATGGAATGCAAAATCAGCCATTCCTTTGCCTCACCCAGAACTGACATCAAACTCATGGCAGGGAGCTGGATATCATTAAAAAGTGTAAGTACTCCCTGGTACTTTTGGAAAAGTATCATTGCATGTGACACATCTCAGAGTTCTCTGGGATTTTGTGTCTCTTCCAAACTTTCTGAAAATCTGTATTAGTAGACCAGAGATCCCCAACAGCTCCTCTTTTATACTTGGCTGCAAGTTATTAATATATGAAGATTTAATAAGCCTAGTTTTCATATCTCTTCCTGGATTAATGCTGAAATATGCTCATAACATCATCCACTGTATCACTGGTTGGATGTAGCTACCTTTTCTGTGTAATCACTGATAATCTGAGCATTTCCACTTCATTAATTTAATACAGATTAAGACCCAAAAGAGATCACCAGACCCTCTAGTTCAGCCTCCAGAGCATTATATGTACAATTCCAACTCCTTAAGCAGTGTGCAGAGTTATATAAGGCAGGATAGATAAGTTCTGGTGTGTAATAGGGAGAGCTGGTACTGATGCAGGTATCCATGATAAGCCTTAGGTACCTCTCAGCCTTTGCTTCCTGCACATCCTCATGTGAAACCAGCCTTTTGCAGACTCAGAGAGGGCAAGTGAATAAACCATTGTATTAAGGCCTTTAAATCAAGTTTAAAACCAACGAGTATAATGAAATACGGACTGAGAAAATGGAATTTGTTTGTGTCTACATGTTCCTACTAGAATAATTATTCCCTATTGGAAACTTTTGCCTGTCAATCCCCAGCTATTTAAAACTGCAACAACAATATCCAGTTGTTGCTTTCTTGTGTCCTCAGTCTTTATCCTAGCTTTTGTTAGGGACAATGCAGTGGTATTCATCAGCAACAATAAGACTGTTATGTTTCATTGTGTTTTTTCCAAAGCTATACAATGTTCTATCCATTATGGAAGGGTTGCAGTCAGCTGAGTGATGTTTACATGTCACTTCCATACCCTAATAAGAGGTATAAAAGAAAGTGTATTGTAGCCAGCAGGGGACGGTTTCAGTATGGAAGGCCAGGACTTCTGCCTCATATAGAAATGTAATCAAGGAAGATAGCACTGCCCTGCTTAGTGTGCTCTTATTTTGGGCCTCTGCTTTAGTGCCACAAGTGTCAGTAGTAGCTGCAGCAAACTGCTTATTCATGCTGCTGCTGTGATCGTTTGCTTTTGGGCAGTATTAATTTTGTGGCTGTGCTAAGTTAGGAACCCATTCCCAAGGACATCAATGGCGTGGCTGTCTGGCTTGTCCTGGCAGCGGCCGGAAAAGCTCGTCCATGTGATGGGGCTGTTCTTGACTGTGTTTGCTGGCATTCCCATAAAAGCATTCCCACACACCTATGCCAGCAGGATCAGCATTTTTTCTGGAAGCTGGGTCTTTCCAGCTTTTTCTAGGACGGTGCCTCACAGTCACATGGGGGTGACGGGTGTTTCTGATACATTCCTTGGGCATTTCTCTGTGCATTTCTCAGCCCCGGTTCATGTGGCTGGGCCCTTCTGCTCTTTGTAGTGGCAGCTCATTTCACAAGACTCATGGAAGTCATATGGCTGCCTGAGGTCATCACAGAGGAGATGAGGATCCCGAGTTTGCAAATATGTGGGTTGAGCCTGGGGGTGCGTTTCTGACACAGCTGTCAGGCAAAGCAGAGGTTCCACCACATTTCTGCTTCTCAAACACGGCATCCTTGACTCTTGACACTTCAGCTTCTGGGAACTATAACTATTGTCTGGATTCATGGGAGGTTGAGAGAGAGTAGGAATCCTAATAATTAAGACTTCTTGGAAGAAGAAATGAAATCTGTTCCTTAGTTTGGATATGGGTGGAGCAGGATTCCTTCCCCTTTCTGTAGCCAGCTGGAGAAACATCTTCATATCCCCTGGTGTCTTTGAAGGTAACAAGACAGGAGGAAGATCTGAGATGTGCTGGTAGTTACTTGCTTTGAGGTATTCAGACCCCAGTGCTAAATCACTCAGTGTATTAGTCAAAAGCTATTTTATGGTTTTAAACATTCTTCTTGATAAAATAAGGGCTGTTTTGGTTGAACAATAAAGCTCGTGACCACAGGTAGTATTCTTAACTATCTATAGATGGCTTTTGGTGTGTCTTCCCATGACTGCTCTGTGACTGTTTATATAATTTACCATTAGTCATCAGCAGACTGCAGAGGTTGCTGGTTGAGGAGGTTGACTCAAAGTGAGTGGTTAGTCAAGTGCTATGGCAAATGCCAGCCTTTCTGTTGAAAAGATCATGTCTCAAGACAGTCCCCATTCTGGATTGGGTCCTAGTTGGGAGCTAGGAAGGGTTTCTGCTCTGTGATCCCAGTTGTGTGACAGTTTTATGATTCTGTGATACATATGCTTGTGAAAGCTTGAACAGGGGCTTTAGCCTTTTTCTCAGTCCATATTTATCAGTTCTGGTGGGAACTCTTGTCCCATCATTAATATAGTTTTCTTCTTCAGGAGATGAGGAAAATGAGGTTCACTTTGCTGTGAGACACTGGATTTTGGTCCCAGCTAAAGACAGGATGTTGAGCAGGAGGAGCTGGTGCTCTTACCCATCTTAAAATTTCTTATGAGCTTGGTTACTCTACTTGTCCATTACCATACCACTCCAGGTTAAACCCCATCACAACCAGACTGAGAAGGAATCTGTCTCTGTGTGAGGTCCTCAGAGACTTCTGGTTCTTTGCCTTGCTCTGTAGTGCAGAGCACACTGGATTAATCTCACCTGGAAAATCCACCCAGTAAACTCCCTGTAGGTGATGCTTCTTATTTTTCTTGCAGCTACTGTATTTATAGCTTTAGATATTTTACTTTAGGCCTTGTATTTTCCTTGGCTGTATGAGAGAACTCTGTATAGACTATTGTCAAATGAAAACATCAAAATGGGAGAACTAGAAAGAATGGCTGGTTGGTATTGTCAGGCAGCACACAAAGTCCTGCTTTTTGGCACTTTTTTCAGGTGGACAAGGCTATTGTCTTCAAGGCCCATGAAGCAGTGAAGTCCCTCTGTGTTGTGTGGTTGCCCCTGGAAATATTGCCGAGTTAACAGGGAAGTGGGAGTGAGAGTGTCTGGGGCTTGCTTCCCTGCTGCCTGCTGTCTGTGGTGGCCACAGAGATGTTTTGATTGAAAACTTGACTGCTGCACTAATGTGCAGGCACTGGCAAGCTGCTGAATCTGAGAATGCTTCTATTGCACATATTTTTCAGAAGTTTTTTCATTAAAACCAGCAGTTTAGTAAAAGTAGGGAAAAAATGTTCAATTTTAATGCCAAACACTTGAAGTGACCATTTTCCCTCTTCTGTGTTGAGCATTGGAGACCTTACTTATTCCTCTTTATGAAATCTGAGGTTGCACATACGCCTACAATTGTTGTGTCACCTTCTGCCTCTGTAAAGCTGAGTGTTGACTGCAGGTGTTCTGTGGAGACTGAAGGCAAAATAAAAATGCCAAGTAATTGGTACCCCTGACTCTCAATCCAGCGTGTCTTGTGTTGCAGAACATAAGTAAAAATGAAAGGGAAGATCTTCAGAGAGCTGCATGCAAATTTTGACTGGTTGTGGTTTTGGAAGTCAAGGAACAAGGCGATACAGAGAATGCTTTTTAAGCTGTTCTATCAAATGTCATATCTCTGTTTTAATATTTTATGTGATGTGGCTTCTTTCAGATGATCAGCTGGATTATCTGAGATCAGAGAAAAGGGAGTGGTACTACTCAGCTGCAGAAAATAGGAAGAAAGTGCTGCCATGGTAGGGTAGGGCACAGACACACTGACTGCAGAGCACTGGCTATTTGTGGAGCTTATTTCAATATACACATCTCACAGATAGCCCGTCAGAATTACTAAAGTGAGGTGTTTTATTTATAATCAATAAATTTAAAACAAACTTCAAAAAAGTTTATACAACACTATTTTAGAATTTTCCTCCTGGGATTTGTTAGATAAGACTGTTAGATATTTGTTTTCTGGACAACTTTCCTGTTTGTGTGCTTACTAATTATAATGGAAAGACCTACTAAATTATGTATCTGTGTTAAACAGCTTGCTTTTCAAACAAAGGAAATTGGCCACAACTCTCATTTCTTCTATTTTTATCTTTCTCTTAAAGGGCAACACTTTAAGGAAAATCCTCCTGTATCGGTACTTTAAAGGGGAATATGGAAGTGGTATGAATGGGCCCCTGTCTGCCAGCTACAGCAAAACTGCACAAGTGGGAGGTAAATCAACACACATCATTTCAAGAGAGCAAAATTAGCAGCACCATTTTTTCTAATAGGCACATTGGACATGCTCCAGGCATTCAGTTGGTAAATAAATCAAACATGTTCTGTAACCACTTAGAAGAGAGGTAGTATCAGACTCTTCTATTTTTAAGTTGCTCACACTTGTCTCAGATGGTGCATTTGGAGGTACCAAAGCAGGTACCAGGAAATCCCCATCCAGAAATTCAGCAAAGCAGAAAACTTTTGAAGAGAGATGGTGTTGTTTCTGGAAATTAAAGAATTTTTTGACATTCCGATCCTTTATTGATATATGAAAAATATCTAAGGAAAAGCTTTTCACAAAAGTACTGGTTAGACAATAGATCAAATTTTCCTGAGAGGTTGTAGAATGTGTCAGTTCTTGTTACAACTTTACTGGACAAGACTCTGACAAACCTGTCCTATCTTCCTGTGGGCAAGAAGTTTCAGTAGATGATCTCTGCAGGTCCCTTATAAGCTAATTTTTTGTATCATTCTGCTGTAGAAGCCACAGGAAGTTACAGCAGGGTGGTTTCTAGGAAAGCCCATTATAATGGATGTCATAGGAAATGAGGCTGGAGCTAGGTATAGAGCCAGATCAGAACTGCATTTTGCATTTTCAGTGCACACTGAAAGCATGCCCAGATTTGTCAACTTTTGCAGATGTCACCCAGCTGTTCCTCCTTTACTATTTCAATACAGACTCTGAAAATCTTTGCAGTCTTAACATTCTCTACGCCAAATTTTGCTCTCTAACAAATAAGAGACTGAAATTTTACTATTTTTTTAGTTCTCTCTAAAAAGTGTGTGTGTGTATGGCATCATCACAAAGTCTGAAGCATTTTAATCACTTTAATCAAAGTAGTACTGGCTGATTAAAACAGTACTGTATTTTTACTAATGAAGTAGGTGCAGTTACATCTTTAGAGAAGTAAGTATAGCAGGAAAGATGATCATCTGTGATAATAAAAGGTGGTTGATTTAATGAGCTAATACAATTTAGCAAAATTTCTTCAACCCACACCTTTAATTTGGATTAACTCAAGTCTGTGTTCTTAAAAAAAGCGTCATGATGATGATGATGGTGATGATGATGATCTAGGAGTTGGCAAAAGCATTTGGCTGGAAGGTCAGACCCATAACCAGGGTGGATTTACCAGGACACAATTTTAGTGCAGATTAGGCCTAAGATTGAAGAGCAGATTTAAAAAGGGTCTCACAGCATTGACCCTACTCACAGTTTAGTGTATGCAGCAATGGAATTAAAAAAGGGTTCAGTGAACAAATCAATGTCCTTTCCATCTTATTTATTGTCTGAATATCCTGACAGAACAATGGCTTGGGGATTTGTTTTATTTCTTATTCTTAGAGCCCAACATTGCAGTTTCATACAAAAATCTTGTTTTTATCAAAGGGAACTTTGCCTGACAGAATTTCAAAATTAAATTTATTACGTTGCTATTGTGTGCTTTATCACTACTAATAGGTTCATTTTCATGTATGTGTGTGAAGCAAACATGAATGGTAGTTGTGTATTTGTCTAATTTGCAGGTGGATTTTCAGGACAAGATGCAGATAAGTCTGGGGTGACTATGTTTGATATCCAGTGCCTCCTGGACAAAGAAGGTGCCTCAGAACTGGTCATAGATGTGATAGTGAACACCAGAAATGACAGGATTTTCTCCGAGGGCATTCTGCTGGGTATTGCACTGCTTGAAGGTGGAAATACGCAAACACAGGTACTTGTTTAATCTGCTTATTCACATATTGATTCTCAGGTGCATGTGGTCTGGAGACAAATAAAGAGAACCTTTTTGCTGTGAGTTCTCTGAGAAGTTTGTCACTAGAATATGTACCACTGTAATGCAAATGTAAATATGCCCTATTACTATGTGGTAGCTCTTTGGGAGAAGGAAAGGTTTTTCAGCTCTCCCTCTCTGTCTAGCACTGTGCTGCTTTTAATCTGGTCATTGCCATGTCAGCATTATCCCCAGTTATTTTATGTCAGTCTTCGTAAAATTAAAAATTATAATACTTCTAAGTTTATAAAAGCACATTATTTTCTGGAAACCTTCAGAGACATTTATTAAAATCTCCAAAGAGAAAAAAACTTGGTTATTTGAGAAGACCAGTATTCCAGTTGATAGAAAATATTTGCTTTAAACTATGGTTTCTAGGTGTTTTTCTATATATTTGCTTTAAACTATGGTTTCTAGGTGTTCTCGCCCAGATTAAGCCAAATCAGATGTTTGAGGGAATAGAGAGAATTGATATGAGGAGGGAAGGCTGGGAGAATTGGGATTGTTTGCAAACTGTTTCAAATGGTCCTCAGCCTGCTTGACAGTTATTCTAAGGGACTGGAATTAATAACCTAAAATAATATTTAATAATAACTTCTGTCTGTAGCACAAAAAATTAATATAATCCAAGCTATAATATTACATATTTGATGTTCCCTGCTTTCTCTTGTTGTTACATAATAAGTCACTTTTCACTTTTATTTGTAGATGGAATATAATGACTAGTAAGTCTGGAGAAATGGAGAGTGTCACAAAGTAATTTAATTTCAAATACAATATTGTGACATTTAAAAGACTGCAAATAGCACAGTTCACCATTTTACCCAAATTTTAAAATATTATCATCAGTCTTTGTTACCAGCCTTGTATATCACTTTGTGAAAGAACTGGTCAGGCAGTGGCCAACATTTGTTCTGTGTAAGTGAAGTAATTATTCATCATTTGTTTCACCAAAAAAAAAAAAATAGTGTGTTTTTTTATTTCTTCTTCCTTAGAAGATTGATATCTAAAGAATTTTTTTTTTTTGCAGTATTCGACTTACCAGCAACTAAAGGAGCAGAAGAAGTCAGAAAGGTTCTTCAAAGTGCTGTATGATCGCATGAAAGCTGCTCAGCAGGAGATCAGATCCACAGTGACAGTGAACACTATTGATTTGGGGAGCAAAAAGAAGGAGGATGACAGTGACCTCACCATATCTGTTCCCAAAAAGAGAGGTAAGGAGGCACCCCTGGGAAGGAGGGGAGCAGGGCTTTATATTGACACTGCATGTGCTGCACCACTGGTGCACTGCTGAGTTGATCAATAAGCTTTAACATTAATAATTGCCAATTTGCATATTTTGCCTGTTTTTCTCTGAATTACAGTCCATCTCAGGTTGGCCACAAGGAATTAGCTTTAATGAAATCAGTGAAGCTCTGCCAATTTGCATCAATAAAAGATATTGAGCTGTATTTTTAGAGGAGCAAAAGCAGAGGCTGCTGCTATTGGGGATATTTCACAAGAGCAGGCTCAGGAACTGATTTCCCACCCTGTGGTCTTCCCATTGTTCTCATCATTTATTGTATATGAGAGAGAAATAGTAGGGCTTTTTGTGTTAATGTTCTGTTTCACTCTGGTTTGTGGTTTATTTGGAACATGCTATCCCTGCATGAATGTTGCTTTGATATTCTTTGTGAGTCGCCTAGAGGCCTTTGAAGAGTTAGACACCAACAAAGAAAAAGTTGTATTCATTATTATTGTTTTCTTATTGTTTAATCAAATGGGGAGAAAGACTTTCAAAAATGAAGGAAAATTGTCTTCTTTTCAGTTAAGGATTCAACTCTGCATCTGAAGGAGGGAATGAAAGGACAGTTAACAGAAGCATCCTCTGCAACCTCCAAGGCTTACTCTGTGTACAGAAGAGAAATGGACCCAGAAATAGATCTGATGGGCTCAGGAGCAGATGCTGCAAATGCAGAAGAGAAGTCTGCAGAAGAAGCAATCATGAGCCCTGCCATTGCAATCATGCAGCCAATACTGAGATTTCTTCAGCTGCTGTGTGAGAACCACAACCGAGAGCTCCAGGTAAAGTGTTTTGAGCTGAGCTTTTATAGGGCTGTTGTTAGAGGGGCTGCACGTTCATAAGGGGAGAAAAACACACTTGTGCCTGGCCCCTGTTACAGAATAGGGCTGTCTGAAGTATTGGGTCCAAGGGATAAAAGAAGCATTTTCAAGAACCATTTGGGTTCTGTGATGGAGTTCAGAATTGCTTGGGGGTCTCAGCACAGCCACATGGAGCTGAGCAGGGTCTAAATGTCCCTGGTTAGTAAGGCTCCTGTGCACAGTTGGTAGATCACTTACCACAGACTTGAAGAGCACAGGAAGTTTCTGGGTACTGCCCCTTTGCCAAAGTAAGACAACTGAAGGCTTTCAGATGCTCTGTGTGTCCCTGCTATCAGTTCTTTTGGTAGAAATTACTGTCCCCATAGCAACCTCTGCAAAATGTATTTTCTGCAAATATACATCAGTGCCGTGGTCAGGAGTGGTTCCTCCCCTTCCAGCTGTGGTTGGGGTGGTTTGAGCTGAGCTCCATAATGTGCCACCAGACCTGCTTAGCTGTGGGGCAACAGCTTCCAAGAGAAGGGCTGTGATGGGTGACTGGGAGCAGGTCTGCAGGACATATAAAAGACATTTAAGGCCAGTGCAGATGTTTGCCAAGTTCAGTTTCCTAAGCCTTCACTGCTCTGTGATTTAATCAGATAATAGTTCTCAATTGCTGCATTAAGGCCTAATGTATTTTCTATAGTAGTGCAGCGTACTTCAGTACCTGAGACACCCTGGTCATATGGCTATAAATTGTATCCTTCAATGTTTTCATGAAAAAAGACTAAAAGACTTTTGCCTTGACTCTCTTCCTTTTTTTTTTTGTTTTGTTTTGTTTTGTTTTGTGTTCCTTTCTTCCACCCACCAGAATTTCTTAAGACATCAAAACAATAAAACAAATTACAACCTCGTTTGTGAGACCCTTCAGTTTTTGGACTGCATCTGTGGGAGCACCACAGGTGGGCTGGGCTTGCTGGGGCTTTACATCAATGAGAGGAACGTGGCTCTTGTCAACCAGACTCTGGAAAGCTTGACAGAATACTGCCAGGGCCCATGCCATGAAAACCAGGTAGGCTCAAGAACTTCTGGATGCAGAAGGCTGTACCTGAATGTTGCTGTCTGGGTGCTTATCACAAACCTTTGAGTATTCCTGATATCGTAAATTCACTTGGAGCTGCTATGACTAGACTTAACATGCTTCAAGCTTTCATGAAGCCTGAGTGACCCTTTTAAGTCAGAGCTCAAAACAGACTCTTCCTGTAGTACCTCTTCTTCCTCTGAGAGTTGGCAGACCTTTTGGAGGGAGTTTCATGTTTTATGTTGCTGTGTCCGTGGCTTAACCCTCACTTTGTGAGACTGGATCTGGAGTCAGAGTTTTGGAAGTGCATTGCAAACACACACTGTTTGTGTTTCAATGTGTTCCATTTTCACACATTTTGCCTTTGGTGGTGTTTATACATCTTGCTAACACTTACTTTCCTTATTTCACATAACTGCCACAAAGTTTAACTTACCCTCCTGCCATACCACCTAGCAGCATCTTTAATTATGGTATCAGTATTGAAATGGATGACACTAAAGACCATGCTTCTGATCTTCTGTGCCTTCCTCACTGCAGCCTTTGGAAGTCACACAGCTGTGACTCCAAAAGGTAAAAGTCTCTTTAGTGCCATGCTGAAGAAGTATAGAAAGCTAAAGGATGTGGTTACATGCTGCCATATTTGATCTGAAGAGAATTAAAGTTGCAATAAAGTTGTCATAGTGGATGAAACTGCAGAATTTTTGCTATAGATTAGCAGTGGGAAAATTGTGGTGAGCAAATGACAGAAGCAATCTGTTCTCTATGCTAGAAATAGCTGAAGAAATACATGCAATATTAATGCTTCTTCATTAATGTGCTCCAATGAAATGTAAAGTGCTATTACGGCCATTGCTGGTAATCAGCTGCCTTTACCTGATATTTTAAAAACAAACAGAAGTCCTTTAGTGGACTAAATTTTGAACAGTAATATTTAAACCACTTCTGGATGGGAAAAACAACTATAAAAAAGCATAACAACAGGACTGAAGACAAAAAAATGTTACAAGTTAACATGTTCTCCAGCAAAGAGAGAACTTCTCTTATGTGAGAAGCACTGGAGGAACACTGATATGGAAGGGAATGATGAATTAAACTTTATTACTTTGACCTATCTGCTGGGAAGTCACTCAGGATTTGAGTTGCACTTGTTTACACCAACTGCAAATCTAATTCAGTATATTTCAGGGGCAAATGCCCCACACTCTCTCATTTTCATTTTTCCCCCTCTCTCTGTCTTTCTGGAAAACTTCTCCTTTCCTGTTGTCCCATAAACCTGCCAGAGGAATAAGTGCCATAGGCTCTTGTATAACTGGCTGTTATGCACAAGGCCTAGAAGGTCCAGAACTCCAGCTGTAAAGGCATTTGGGAAGTACCACTGCTCACAAATACAGTTCTAAATTTCATATCCAGAAATACTCTTCTTTGCAGGACATGTCCACGTTCATGGAAAAAACTTTGATTTTCATGAACATTTTGTACTGTAACAGCAATATTAATGCTGGCTGCTGAGGGCAAATGAAGAATCTGAGCGTGCAAATTTGGTTGTGCTTGCAGTCAAGCTTCTCTTTTATGTCTGAGGCTGGCATGTGCTCAGCTGAATCTGGCAGTGCTCCTGAGGGCTGCTGTCTGCAAGTTGTGCCGCTTGGTGCCAAGCCCTGCGGGATTCTCTGGGAGCAGATTTTAGCTTGCACCACCTTTTTTCCAGTTGGGTATTTCCCTACTGGCAGTGTTTGGGTTAGTTCTGTACACACAAGTCTCCCCCAGCACTTCTTGTGGTGTGTTTTCAGGCTGTTCTGCTTTGACTGAAGGTTTCATTGCTCTTGCAAGGTGTTTTAAGTTCTGGGTCCTTCTTTTAGAAATTTGCTGATGTGTATATTCTCTTGTTCCCTCTGGCTGTATCATCTCCCTCTTTTTCCCACTCCTCCCCTCCCTTCTGCCCCTACCCCATTCCCTTCTCTTCTCTTGTTTTGCAGACATGCATAGCCACCCATGAGTCTAATGGGATTGATATTATAATTGCTCTCATCCTGAATGACATAAACCCCCTTGGCAAATACTGCATGGACTTGGTGCTTCAGCTCAAGGTACAGTATATGGAAATTTGTTTATTTGAATTTGGGCAGCAACAGAAGACATACCTATGGGAGAGCTCTAGGCAGCCTGACATTTACTTAATCTTACCATAGCACAGTATACTCAGAAGCCTTTGCAAAACAAAATCTTGCAAATGAGTTCATCTCAGCTTCTGAATCCTTACCAAGCCCTCTGCCGCAGGCCTTTTGACCCACTGCTATGTTGGGGACTATGTCTCAACTTTTTAAAAAAAGTCCTATCAATCAGGCATGACACAGCTAGCATGAAAAGTCTGTATTGTGATGTAAAATCTCTCAAGACTGATAAACAGCCACACTGTACAGGCATGCAGCAAGTCAGGCCTGCTCTCTAAATACCGAACTCTTAAAAATTATTTGAGAAAGAAATGCTGTGAAAAAGAGCAATATATCAGGTGACCTGCAATGTCAAATAAAGTTGAAAACAAGGTTCAAGTAAATTGTACCTTATTTCCCTTCTCAGTGTCCTCTGAGGGGAAACACAAAGTGTGGAGTGTGAGGGCAAAGCCTAGAGAGGGAGGGCTTGTAATGTAATTTTGTTCTGTGTTCTGGGGAGGGTTGGACAGGCTGGTAGATAAGTTTCTCCTGTCTGTGTGCCAGTGCATGCAGAAGGGAGCTCTGCAGCTGCACTGTCTGCCAAGGAGGGTAGAATCTGTCCAGGAGGAGCCCTGGGTTATTGCCTTTTCTTGCCTCCCAAATTAAGTATTTCCATTGCAGATGGTCTGTTTCCTCCCCAAACCAGAAAATTCTTTGTGGTAGCTGCATTGCATCATATTGGCAATGTTATACATGTCTAATAAAATAATTAATATAGCTATATATCATGTACAATGAAACATTGAATCAACAGTGCCTTACATATGATTTTAATAACTGTAATTACTTTTTTGAATGGCAATGTAATTCAGGCCCCCCTCTAGCAAAACACTTAGGCAGACATTTAACTTTGAATATGCAGACAGTTCTTTTGAAGTCCGAATTCAGTCTCTGTAAAGATGTATCTGCATTCTCTCCAGTGCCATTTTGATTTGCCATTGCCATGAGGCTAGCACATGCTTGTAGAACAGCTTTTCTGTGTAGTGACCAAACACAGAGCTTAGAGACACCTCTGCAAGGACCAGTGTGATCCTGCTCACTGGAGGCTGGCTGTGCTCAGGCTCATTCAATTAGCAAAAATTGTGGTGAATGTAGCAGAAGTTCAGACTGTGGAAATTATTCAGATTTGCAGAATCACAGAGTCATTTGCTTTAGTAGGGATGTCTTGAGGTTAACTTCTCCAAGCCCTCTGCTCAAGCAGGATCAGCTAGAGGTTTCTCAGGATCATGTGCAGCTGAATATCTCCACAGCTGGAGATTCACAACCATTTTGGGCAGTCTATCCCACTTTCTGATCCCTCTCACAGTATGAAAGTGTTTCCTGGTGTTTAGATAGAATTGCATGGGTATTTTATTTTGTCTCTTGCTCTCTCACTGGACACTGGTGAGAGGGGTCTGGCAGCCTCTTCTGCCTTTCCTCCCACCAGGTAATTATACACATTGATAAGATCCATCTAAGCCATCTGTACTCCAGACTGAACAGTCACAACTTTCAGTGGCTTCTTATATGAAAAATGCTCCATTCCCCTTATGGTTTTTATGGCTTTTTGCTAGACCCGTTCCATTATGTCTATATCACTCTTGTACTGGATGTGGACACGTTGCAAGATGTGATCTCAATAATTGGATCCAAATTAAGAAGCTGCTGGTTTTGATTTTGAGTGGCAACACATTGAAGTAATAAAGCAATGAGTTTACCAAGTAATGTTTAACTGTCAGTGTTCACAGGCAACTTTGAAGTTGCAAATACATAAATTTTGCACTGAAAATACAGAATTCAAAGTATGCAGGCCTATACATTTACACTTACAAACAAGCTCAGATACTGTTTTCAGGGAGCATTATATGTTGAACTTACACCCTCCAACCACAGGAAAGGCAGTGTGGAGTTCTATTTTCCCATGCCATCTTAGTTTAGCTTGTTTTGCACTTAGTTTTTGATGTGGCATTTAATTACATCTTCATGGATTACATTTTCCAGTGGACTCCTGAATCATTTAGTGAGCAGAGCAGACAGTGTTTACTGAGTGCAGAGATGGACAGTGTTCAATTCTGCTTCTTTTTATTTCAAGTGTGACCCCCTGGCATTCCTTACTGCCCAGTATGTAAGCCCTGGCACAAAGTAAGAGCTCAGTATCTGCCACAGATATTGAGTGACAGGATGAAGAGACATTGCCAGTCTAAGAGTACAGAGAGTCTAAGACAAGTGTCTTCTTTTTTTCCCTCATAGCTGTATCTAGTTGCTTCACTCATTAATTTATTTTTCCAAAATTTTTATCAGGAGATAAGACGGGAGCCCAGGTAAAAGTGAAATGAAGAGTAGAAGTGCTTTGGGCTGCGCTGTTTTTTAGCACCTGGAAACTGATTTTTCACTGTACTTATGTGTTATGAACTTTGTGCTGTGTTTTCCAAGTGATGAATGTCTTTTCCTTATTGATGTTTTCCTCACATTGATGTTTGGGATTAGATCCTAGGCTCTCCAGATATGCAGAAAGTGAGGAATAAGTAGCCAAATAACCATCACAAATGCCTGCTGTAATTCTATGCCATAGCAAGGCACTTCTGCTGAGTCAGTAGCAAGAAGCTGGCTGTTGATGACACAGAGTCCTACCTATCCTCTACCTTTCCCAGCTTCCTGGAAGCTGCAGCAGGCTTCTGTCCATCTCCAGGGTTGTCTGCACTGGCAAAGAGCTTCAAAGTCCTCCTTAGCCATGAGTGAGTGGACTGATGCCTTCCTCCTGTTCCCTCCCTTTCCTTACCAAGCTACCTGGGAACCTGGCATGGCCCCTTCCCTCCTCCTCAGTTTGAGATCCTGTCAATGCTACCACTACTGACTTGGCCACCACTGTAAGGGAAATCTGCAGCAGAAGATGAAGCATCCTGCTTTTCAGAGCAGCATCCTGTCAGGAATCCTCGTCAAAATGCTGTTCTCTCCCTCCCCCTGTTCTCGTTCACTGTGCACATTCAACTTCTGCAGTGTTGGTTGCAAGGTAGAGAGTCTGATTAGACCTTTCCCATGGATGGTCCTGATTTGATTTAGAAGCAAAAGGAAAGGGACATGGCAAAACTCATATGGAGTGCTATTCTCCTTGAGCCAGTCCCAGTTAGGTCTTTTCTTCCCATCTCTTTTTCTTTGTCCTTATCTCATTGGCAAGCCCAGGCTCCTCTCTCCTGGCTTCTATCTTACTCCAGTCTCTTCTCCCAGAAGTTTTTAATTCCCCAGTTACATACAACTCTTCATTCTAATCTACTCTCCTTCCATTTACCTTCAGTCCTCCAGTCATAGGTGTTTAATCCTCAGCCTAAAACAGCCCTGAGCAGGCTGCTTTGAATAGGGGCTGGACTGCTGGAATCTTAGTCCAGAGGACAGCTTTTAGTGTATGGTTTTATGATCCACCCTGCACAGTTTTGTGATTCTGTGCTCACCAAGAATAACCCTTGTGAGTTTTTAGCTGTGAAACGAGTGTGTTTCTGCTCTATAGTACTCAAATTGTAATTTACTAAATGCTTCTGAGTTGGACAAGTTTGACTGGGAGATTACAACTCGTGTGATTGTTCTATTGGCCTCTAGTGCTCCATATTTTTAGGTCTCTTATCAAAACTTGTGGATACAAAGGCTGCTTAAAACACAAGTTGCTTAAACATGTAGGGAATAACATCTTTCTTTTTGCCCCAGTCCCAAAAGCAGCTGAACCCTTTTCCTCTGAAAGTGCCCATGCCAATTGTCTGAGGCACACCCTCACTGGAGAAATTTTGGCTGGAATCATTGATAATGGTAATAAACAGCTGAGAATGAGGCTGTAGGGTGGGTGGGCATATTTCCTGGCCCCTACCTCTTCCCTAGGGACTGTCTTCTGCTTCCAAGTGTTCCAACAGCTCAGTCTGTAACAGGGAATGATGGGGATGCTGTGACAGGTCAGCCAAGGCTACCCTGCTCTGCCAGAAAGCAGCCAAAGCTCCAGAACCATTCTTCTTCTCCACTTCACCACAGCTGATTTAACAGGGAGACAGGCAGGTCTCTGAGCTGCACTGGACTACTGCAGCTAAAGCTCATGCTGTGTAATCCTGAGTCTTGGGGAAAAGCAGCCAGCTGACAAAGCAAAGGTTGTCTTTATATATTCCCCCAGGAATATTTAGTAGTGAAACAAAATCTCAGGAGTGCATGAAAACAGGTTATTTTGCAGCCTTTCAAATAATAACCAGTTGGACTTCATAAAAACCAAGGGGGAAGGAAACCTGCCTGAATGATAAAACCTTCTGTGTAATATGTTTTGTAATTACCTCTGTTGAGTCTTGTTTTAACAGAAAGCCAAGGCAAAAATTGCTAGGTGGGAAATAAGGAAAGGAAATGGAATTTAATTTTGTATGCACAGTCTGCAGCAACACTCTGTATTTAAGTAAAATATTTTTCAGTGTTTAAAATTTTCATTCCAATATAATGTGCAGAGTTAGTGTTACAGTATGCTGACACTAAAAAAAACCTATTAAATATGTCAGTAAAATAAAAGATGCAAATGGTTGAAAATCTTATCCACTAAAAAGTGGTCCTCATAATCTCAATTAAAACAAATGCAAGGGTCATTAATCCATGAAAGAGATTTAAAATTTGCATTAATTTGGTTTTGTATCTCCAGAACAATGCCTCCAAGCTTTTGCTGGCTATTATGGAAAGCAGGCAAGACAGTGAGAATGCGGAAAGAATCCTTTTCAACATGAGACCAAGAGAACTGGTGAGAAACTTGTGAATATTCATAAATCTTTTGGCTGAAAAAAATCTGTCATTAAAACATTTTTAAAATGATCTGTATCTAAGCTGAGAAGTGTTGGCAGCGTATGGTGGCACAATGTATCAGGATAGTACTAATTCACAAAATTACTTTAAAAGGATCAAGCATGCCTGATTTCAGTCTTTACGACTTCATTATTTTTATCCGTTCCAAGCACTTTTCTTTAATTGTTTCCTAACTAAATTATCATATTCTGGTAGACTGTCTTCAAGTGCAGTTTGTCAGGGGCTGGCAAATTAAGCTTGTAGAGTTTGTGAAGCAGTGCTAACAGAAATGTGTGTGTGGACATATATTTAATATACATGTATGTTATTTATTTATGTCTTGTGAACAAAGAGAGTTCCAAGCAGTTGTTGCTGTGTTTTGGAACAACACTAATGTTTATGGAGGTCTCCAGGAACTTTAAATAGGTTGGAAATCTGGGGGAGTAATTTCCAATACCACTTGTCTGTGTAACAACAGAGACTGAGAGATCTGGGAGTTCTTGAGGGATTCTGGGGAAGAATCTGGGAACATCTTCCCTGCCCTTAGGCAGAGCCCTTGCTGGTTGCTGGTTTCAGGGAATCACCACTGAGGTGGCATCTCAGCAGGATGAGGCCATCCCTAGGGTACAGCTGCAGGATCAGGCCTTGTGTGGAGAACCGTATGGTGGTCCTCTAAGAGGCTTTTGAATATTTGGCACCCTGCCCAGATCTTCCTTTCCTTTTTGGCTTAGGTGTGGTTTTTCCTGTGAAATTGTGTTGCTGCCTGCTGTGGCCAGAAGATCATGGCTACACTCCTAATGCTACACAACAGTCCCTGCCATATCTAGACAAGCATTTGTGAAAATACCTGCTCACAAAAGCTCATCATTCCTCTTCCTTTCTCATGGTTGCTGATGAAAAATGTAGTGGTTTGGAACTTCATAAATCCTTCAAGCTTGTCTTACTCAGAAAGTGTTTCTCAGGCTGCTTGCTCTTCTTGCAGAACTGCAGGGCACCCATGCAGGCTGGAGCTGAGCAAAGTGGCTGTGTTCAAACACAGTGTAGTTTTTCCCCAAGAACCACATTTATTTCATCTCTCCCTGACTGGGTTTATGTTGCAGGTGGATGTGATGAAGAATGCCTACAACCAAGGTCTGGAATGTGACCACGAGGAGGAGAATGGAGATGATGGCATCTCCCCAAAAGATGTTGGCCATAATATCTATATTTTGGCACATCAGGTATGTCTTATTTGTTTTGTGACAGCTTCCAGAAGAGCTTTACATGGATAGACTCCACATTGTCACAGATGGAGTCATGCACTTCAGGGGTAAGAGAGAAGTAACAATGTGTTTATTGATGAAAACCAAAGTTTGATAGCAGATGTGGCAGTGGGTTAACAAGGTTCAATGGCGAGGCACACTTGCTTGTTTGCTGCATACAGGACAGGCTCAGCCCACACTGTCAGGGAGACCTTCCTGTTGAGTCAAGATGTTAAGGAAGGATCCCTTTGCATTCTAAACTCCTTCTCAGATGGGAGTTTAGGTGCAGCTGGATCCAGTCTTAATCCCAGCTTTTCCCAGCTGTTTGGCTGAAGGTTTATCTGCACATGATCAATCCATTATATCATTTAGCTAGCAAGAATTCAGAGTTTAGCATGCTCTGAACCACTTACCAAGAGTCTCTTGTAGTAAGGAATCCCTCAGTCTTGAGAAGCAACCTTGAGAGCCATTCCCTGTCCAAGGGGAGGGAGATCCTGAATATGTTGGTCCTCCCACTGAGGAGAAATTTCACACAAATTGTTATTTGTGTGAAATAGCAATGTAGAGCAGAACAGTGACTGTCTGCTTAGCTCTGTCTTCTTTTAATATTAACAGATCATTTATATCAATCAAATAATAAATTGTGTTACCATTACTGGTGTATTTCAAATAGTTCCTTCTGTTGTGATACCAACTGAACTTGATTTCAGAAGATTCCTATTATTTTAGAAATATTACTTTGCCAATAAGAATAATTGGGCCTTTTCATTGCTTTTTCCTTTCAAATTATGCTGGAGTGCCCTCAGGCTTTTTCCGACCACTTTTACTTCTCTACTGGTAAAGGTAGAATGTACACTGGAGGTTGTTATTTAATGGGATATTTATTCTTCAGAGTAGCTGGTGTCAAAAATAGTTTATCTTTCAATTATGTTCAGAGTATTGAAAAGTTTTTTGTAATTGAAAGAATAAGGACCACTAACTTCTTGGTTATATCATAAATTACAGCATTTGGTATTTCATATAAGGGCCAAATTAAAAAAAATCTTTTTCTCTAAGAAGAAATAAACAGATGGGGATAGGGAGTGTTCCTCATTCCTTATGTTTATTAAGTGTTGTTAGGAATTGAATACTCGGTGGAAAAAAAAGAAAACAATCTATAGTTACAGTAGTGTTATGCAATATTTTTTTCAAGCAAGGAATGCAGAAAAACAGTTCCTGAGTTATGCTGGTGTGCTCACAGAACATTTAAATAAGTAGGTATTGTTATTATGTTGGTAGTGGTGTGGTTGATCATGTTCTACTCTTTTGCTGTGTCTGGGGCTGTACATGAGATACCCATCATAGATGACAGTATTTTTAGAAAGCATCTGCAGCTCCTTACCTTGTCTGAATTTACTCATTGTCTGAATGCTTATAATGAAAATTTAAATGCCTGCCAAATTGAAATGTTGGTATTTTCTGTGTTCTGCCTACAGTTTGTGTTAAATTACTTAACAGGGTCTGTGACATGGAAAATATGGTTTGGGGGAGTGGAATATGGGCCTAAAGCTATATATGGAGTGACTTCTGGGGTCATTTTACACAAGAGGTCACTGCCAGGGGTACACCAGCTGGCTGAGGTGTAGGTTAAGTTCTGTCCCTAGGATCATATCTGCAGTGCTGGAGAGGTCCATGGTGCCACTCCACAGCTATTCCTGATCCATAGCTGCTGTTTTGGTTGCATAAGGGTGGATATTTTTACAGCAACTTACTGAGCTCCTTCCTGTTCTGTAAAATTAAATGTCATGATTGGCTGTGTATGCTGTAAAAATATCCATCTTTTTTACAAAAAAAAAAAAAAAGACTGTTTTCTTTTTCTTGCATTTCTGTAACATAGTACATGTGTTTGCAATAGATTTGCACCCATGTCAAGCCCCATATCAAAACAAAGCAGTGCAAGGACAGGCAATTTGGGGCCTTTCTGTGTCCTCTGCTAATGAAATGCTACAATTCTTGGCACAGAGCTGCTAATCTTTGACCCCAAACTCTTTCCATGTGTGCCCTTTTTGCTCACCCTGGGATGGGCAGGATACGAGCATGGACCCTCCTCAGTAAGGCCATTGTTGCTGGGTTCCTTTGCTGGCTTCAGTCTCCAAACACTTTCTGCTTTGCTGTCAGAGTGGCTTTTTGGTGCCTGGGCCTTCTGCTTGGCTTAGCTGACCTGATTTACATAATATTTCTTTGCTGTGGCACTTCATCTGACTTACCTTTTTTCAGTGGCTCTTCAGTCACTTTCCTTACACTTCCTGGTGACCACTTGCTCCAGTTACAGCTTTTGGTCCCTCTGTAATAGCAGAATCAAGACTCAGAGTTCCCCTTTTTGCTGTTGCAGCCCTCAAACACAGACAGTTTATTTTGGGGAGCTCCAGCTTTCAGTTTTTGTCGTTGCACTCTTCAGGGCAAAGCTGGGTTCTGCATTTTGCCACCACTACATCCTTCCTTGCCCTCCCTGTGGTTGATTTTACCAGAAGCAAGAGGCATTCTTGTAAATGTTTGACCCACAGAGCATAGAAAGTTGTACATGTGTCACAAGCAAGGCAGAGATTTCTGTTAGTAAATCTTCCTTACAGCCTCCCAGCCCCTGCCCTAAATGTACCCCTGCACACAGTGCACACACAGAGGTGTGTGGGTACAGCAGCTGTGTCATGCCAGTGATCACACATCCTCCACATGGTTCTTTGTCCTCTCTTTCCCTTATTTCTTCATCTTCCTCTGGTGTGCCACGTGCCGTGGCTCTGCTGCTTCCCCTGCACTGCCCCCGGGCTGTCTGGGCTCTGCTGCTCCTCTCTTTTCCTGCTCTTCCTTGAGCAGAGGGGAGAAGGGAGGGCCATGGGGAGAAAGCAGAACTGAGCTGTCCATGAGGAGCTGCCCTGAGCTGCAGCCTGGTTTTGGGGCTCCTTCCAGACCTAGCTCCTCTCCAGCTGCTTGTGGAGCAGTGACACAAGCTGGTGCTTTAGGTCACATCCTGAAAAAATAAGCCTGCTATTGGTAGGTAGAAAGGGCTCACAATTCTCTTGACAATCCATGGAGGAGATTCTGTTTTCTTTCTCTGGTTCAAATGTCATGCTCAGAGCCAAGCCTTGACCTTGGAGTAGTCTCAGGTGAGTGCCAGAGGTGTGTTATGGACGGGGCCAGCACCTCTTGTACCACTTCTCTTCCATACCAATTCTCCTTCAGTCAATAGGTATGGTATTTCTGCTGCTGTTCTCTTAAGAGATTGTGTCAGAGCTGGTCACACTTTGTTTTGCAAAGTTAGTAAGGCTGTCCTCGAAGAGACTTCATCTTGATGTGATGTCCCTGTAGGAAATTACCAAAGCTTTTGACACAGAAGCACAAAAAAAAGTTTCATTCTTGTCCTTATCTGCAGGAGCATTAGTGTAGGAGAATCAAGTTTTTAAATGGTTACACAAAGAAAAAGATTAGAAAAAGCTAGAGAAATCCTTTGGCTTTTCAGGTGACTGCTTGAGCTGGCTCTCTGCTAGTCATAACAAAGTACTTCAGAAGTTTGTAAACTAAAACACAGTACTTCACTGGCAGTATTTCCATGAGGTTCATGATCCCTTTGATATACTGTGAAGCAAGATAAGGCAGTGCTTATAACTAGAGGCTCCTGTAGTCTGTATGCACACTGACACATATATACACACACACACACACACACACACACACACACATACATATATACAGATATATATGTGTATATATATATACATACATACATACATATATATATATGTATATGCATATAACAGAAAATACTTGGAGTATTTGTGTTTTTCAGCTCATGCAAAGTCTCTAAATCAGGCATGGAGCCCAAGCTAATCCACTGTATCTTTCAGCAGGGGCTTTATTCATGAGGGTCACAAGAATGTGAAATAAGTTGACATAGCTTTTTGTTAGCTTGCAGCATGGCAAGAGTGCACTTTCATCTGCCTGCAGAGCTGTGGAGAGATGTCCTTGGTCTGGAAGGATGCGAGGGGTGGGGGGAGTAAGAGAGCAAACTGTAACAAAACTTTCAGATTTCCAATGCCTTATAAACTCCTCTGCCTGGTTCCCAAGGCTGTGGCAGGAGTGGAGGGCTACTGACACAACCTGTCACCCCTTTTCTGATGCATGTTCTGTGCTCTCAGGCTAGCAGAATTTTCTCAATTTTAAGTTCCTGCTTAAGTACTCTGAGTACTGTTGGAGAGGGAGCACAAGTCTTGGAACTCCATGATATCTCTGTCACTTCCAGGTAAATAGAAGGTTATTTGTTTGGTTGCTTGGTTGTTTTTTTTTTCAATGAGATTAAGCTAAAATATTATTTAAATCCCAACCAAGTAAACTACTTATATTTATACAATTATCTGATGTCACCAAGACGTAATGAAAAATATTTCCTCACTCCATAAGGTTAGAAGAATTATCACTGTCTGATATCAGTGCAGTGAAGACAAATTTGAACCAGGTTATCTTCTGATAGACTAACGCAGTTGGAAGTCTCCTTCCATTTATAAGTTCTTAAACCAAGGAAAAATCTGCTGTGAAGTGTAAGGTTCTTACTGCAGGTGCTGCTAAGGACACACATCTTCCTCTCTGGTGCTAGTTTTAAATGGGCTGAGCAAAATAAGTCACTCAGCCTTATATATTTGTTAGTATATTAATAACAGAATCAAGATTTTTTTTATCAAACTTGGCAAGTATTATCAAACTAATGTCTTACTGCCATGTTTACTTCATTGCTTAATAGTGTAGACAGATGAAGGATATTTACTAACTGGGCAATTAAAATGGCAATAATTGATGGCATGGATTTATAGTTTGGGAGTAGGCATACACTACCAGCTATTTTTTAAAAGTTACTTTTTTTAACATTTGAAATAGGAGAGGTTTGATAATGAGACTTGGATATGATACATTCATTAAGGATAAAATAAAGACAGCTAAAAAAAAAAATTAGC